CCTCGATTGCCGTACCAAGTTGCATTCGATTGATATCCTCCACGACCTCGTCCACCTGAGGTGTTGTAGAGGGCTGCTTTGAGTATTCTATTCTGATAGTTGGCTTCATTATATTTTTCGATAAATTCTTCACTAAAAGTTTCTCGTTTTGTTCCTTGCTTTGACTCCAAGTGTCGAACACTTTGTGGTAATCTAAGTGCTTTACTGGCGTATTCTCTAGCTTCTGTGTCATATTGTCGTCCTTGGACCCATGAGTGAACGGCGAGTCTTTTGGCGTTTTCCATTGCTTCTCCAAGAAGTTCGATACCTTCCTGTGTAGAAATGTTTCCTGATTTGATCGTTTTGAGTTGTTCAAAGATTTCAGTTGCTGCTCTTCCATGTAATTTACTTGTTTCTGCCCCTTTGTAATAGGCGGTGACAACTTGAGTAGTGTCAACCGTATATTGTTTGAGTTTTGTTAAGAGTGATTTGTTGATTTCTTCTGACCTAGTCCATTCTTCGTTGTGATATTTGCTGAGATCTCTTCTGTATGGTTTGAAATTTTCTTGATGTTGTTGTTGCGTAGTGTTGTCCAAAGTGGAAGTGATTTCCACCGGTAATTCTCGTTCTTCTCTGTTTCGTTCAGCGGTTGTTTGTTCTTCGAGTTTGAAAGGTCTAAGTAATTCAAAAACTTCTTGTTCGGTGAATGTTCTCTGTTCATTATCTGATTGATAATCTGACATAGTTATTCCACGATGCGCGGCTTAGAAAGATATAGGGAAGAAACGGAAAACGATTTTATTAACAATAAAGGAAAATAAAGCGTGGCTCAGAGAGCATGTATCACATCGGAAGTCGAAGTGGAGTCAACTGGGATCTGTTTAGGAACGACAACAAATTTTCTTTGTCGTGATGTATAAAATATTGAACTGCCAAAGGGTAGTTATGTACTAAACTAAATTTTCTTGGGAACTCTCCCCAAGTATTCTTATATTTCTATCAATTCAGATTTTACAAAGCAGTTTCTACATTGGGACTACTGTATGCTTCATAATAATCTCGTGCAATCTTTATTGAAATATGAGTGTGGTTATCTTCCCTCTACAGTGATAGTTTTTTTAACCGCAATCTACAATAAGGATCTATATACATATAATATATATCAAGTCTATGTGACAACAAACAATTTTCGATATCTAGCATACATCTTCAATGCCAAAAACATATAAACAACTTTCTGCGCAGGTTTTATGGCTCCCATCTCCAAAATCATTATCTGATACTCTGCTGTTATATAGGCCAGAAATTATTGGAAACAACCAAATACACGAAAAACGTAAAGGGAAAGATAATCCCCTTATTTGCTCAACATCAATTTTTTTGATTTCTCTGATGTCTACATAATACACCGAATCTAAAATTAATTACCTAGCAAATTTGAACGGATGAACAGCAAACCGCTTGTAAACAAGTATCCATTGCCGTCTGAATAAATGGTCGTCTGTGAGCGCTTAATCCTTTCAGTTTGAGCGAATTATTCTGTTAACACTAAATCATAACCCACGTTATCCATTTGTCTCAATTCAAAAGAATGACCGTCTGCTTATTAGTGTTTAATCGTTTATCTTGACTATATGCTTTAGTGATTACAAAAAAAAAAAAAAAAAAAAAAAAAAAAAAAAAAAAAAAAAAAAAAAAAAAAAAAAAAGATTGCTCATTGTAATAGGGAGTTTTCTTTCCTTCTGGTTTTACTTCCCGTCCGCTTTATCCTTTATCCTCAGAAAAATTGCTTTAGATAATCTCGGTTTTCGTACTAAAGCCAAACTCTTAACATTTCAGCAATTGTTAATCGTAATCATTGGTTAGTTAATTCCCTTTTATAATTCACTATGGCCGGAAAAGTAGTCGCCTTGACTGTCTAATGCAACTGAATTACTCACGCCTTCTATTTTGTTATTTTTTTTTTGGCTTGGAACAACTGCAGCTATAAAATTTCAATAAAGACAGTGACCCTTGAAAGTGGAAGTGTGTGGAAATCAACTGTATGCTATTAAAATGGGTCGTTTATGTACAATTTAAGGCGGGTAAATTTTATTTATAGTACGACTGCTCCTATTTACAAGAGTATACCATGCTTAGGAATTGGGAAAAGGTGTCTCAACTTTTTTTTCCCAATTCCTGAACTACACGACAATGTGAATTAGAACCATAATTCCAAGCTTCGCCTGTTTTTAAAAAAAAATATTATGCTTACACAAACGTCCAACATTATATGACAAACCACCCGCCGGGGGTTTTTTGACAAAAGTCAATAGTATTTGCGTTCATCCGTATCAGCGCTAATAAGTAGTCCAAATAAGCATAGTTAGTACAACGTATTGCCCTAAAAATTCAGTTTGCTTTACCTCTTGTTATGAGCTGTATCATATGGATTGATTCTTTGAAACGATACACTAATACAATTGATAACGTGATAAAATTTGCTTTTGGTTTCAAACCCGCTTAAACAAGTCGTTGAATTTGTTTTGGGACCGTTTTCTTGCCTTGTTCAGCGGGATGATACAGTGACTAACGGAGTTCATACAAATCAGCTTCAAATGATACAGGTTATTTTTCATTTGTGGTTGGTAGCTGACTGTATGAAAGCACCGTTACTGGAAAACATATCCTCATTATAATTAGAGGCTTGATGAGTTTGTATTCTTCCGTACCACTGGTAACAAATTTTGTTGAACCGTATTGGATGTTTCGTTTAGCGGGGTTGCCAGTTACTACTGAATTGAGTAAATCATATCGTTTTTGTATTTCATTAGTAGTTTACCTTTGCTTTGTAACTTGTGGCATCAGAAATGACTATATGAAGACAGACCATGATTCAAACTGGATGATAAATTATATTTGTCATCTTCAATAATATCACCGCTACAAAATAGGATTTTTTTCTCTTTTTGGACCGTGTTTGTATATGGGTCAAATAAAGAACCCAGTTTCTATTTAAACTGTTAGAAGTATTAATTAAAATTCTATCTCTGTTGGTACTGATTTTACCTTAAGTTTATATCTGGGTTGTGTGAAGAATGTGTTGCATAAAGCGTATAATTGTTATAATTATGCAGCAAATCAGAATTGCATTCTGCCATAATATTGGCCGCTGAAGAGATGTATTGCGTTTGTTTCTTCAAACTTGTTTTTTCTCTGGATCAGTGGTGGTGCTAAAGAGGTTTAAGAAAGTAAATATACCAACGTCATAAGATAGTATGTTTCGCTTTACCTTCCATATGTAGCTTGATATTTGCATTGTCTTTAATGAAGTAGAGATTGTTTTTGTATTTCCCTAATTTAATGCTGCTTGATCCAGTTCAAGCCTATTTACAGCTACAGATAATTCTTCTTCGTTGGTGTTATTAGTTTCAAGACTCGTTGGAGACTTTTATTGAGATCTTCGCTACAATTAAGCCCGATTTTTTTAAATATAACAAGCCCATCTTTAACACATCAGTTAATTTTTAGAGAGCGGCTGAAAAATTAAAGATGGCCTAAAAAAATTAGTCAGCATAATAATGGTCCCCGAATTACATTGATACGTACCATGTTATAAATAAGGTTACTTTCTCATCTGGTTTATATTCATTTTGTTAATTTCTTAACGTTCCCTAGTAAAAGCTAATTTTGAGACTTTTACTAAACCACAATGTGCTTGTAAGATTGACACAATGTAAGTTCATACATTTCCGCTAGTAGAAGCAAAAGACGATACTTCTACTAAACAACATCGTACTTGTGTAATATTGTACGATGACTGTTTTGAAACTCCCATTAGTTTGATTACTACGGTTTTCAATATGTAGTCATCAAGTGTCTAAATTACAAAAAAGTTTAACCTTCAAACGTTTTATAAAGATGCCATAATTATACTTACGTTTGTATCGGTATAAATTGAAGCGTTTCTCTTCATCGTTGATCTTTTTTGCTTCAACTTCAAAGATATTTTAAGTGTCCATTTAGATATCTTGATTTGGATTATACCATGTTTGCTAGGTGAGTGTTCGCAGCAAGTAGCCGTGAATAACATCCAAGTCTATAGAGTAGTTGCTTATGTTGATGTTAAATGTTGACATGCTTGATGTTATTACTTGCTGTTGCACCGCTGATATCCATTGGCCCGTAAATTTGTTAAATCTTCAGAATTTAGTTGTGTTTGCGTAAAGTTGCATTGTTCCGACTTGGGCCATATGGAAAATTTGTAGTTAGCAAACATGGATGCGAATTTTAAAGATTTCCATCCTTTCGACTTTGGTTTTCGTTTAGTGTTGTCGTTATGTATTTTGTTGTTATATCATTTGTTGTTGTATGATTGTTTTTTATTTTAAATTTGATTATTAGATCTTTGGTTGTTTGATGTTTGTTGATTTTTTGTTGTTATTAGTGCTGTCTTTCACAATAGTTTGTACAATTGGATGTTTCTTTTGATGTTGTAAGCTATTGCGACTGAATTGTAGCACCTTTTGTATAAGCGTTGTTTGTAGATTTCTTATAGCGCAGCATATAGGATCTTGATCAGTTGTCATACACTGCAAATTTTGCCTGCACGTAAAAAATAATAGCAAGTCTTTATCGTGTTATTCTTGATAATTGATGGATGTCGCTAAGGTGTTATTTGAATGATGATGAATAGCCTCATCTATATTTCCTTTTCCAAATGCTTAGGAAAATAAAAATACACCAAAGACGACTACCACCGGCAGCAGAAGACTCCACCAAATCTTCCCAATTGTTTTCCACCACGTTGAATCAATTCCACTCAATTTTCTTCGCCTGATTCCTTCTTCTCTACCTCATTATTGGCTTCAGTGGTTTGATTAAACCAGACAAACTCTCACCACCAAAGGAGAAACAAAAAAAGCCGAAACTTCTTTTCAAGGTACGCCTGCCAAGACAGAAAAACCTTCTTCTTCGTCTCCATCACCAGAGACCGAACCAGAAACAGAGGGAGAACCAGAGAAAAAACTGTAGGGAATGAAGCCATCAGAAGTATCTAACGATACTTCTGCAGGAACTGACTCCACATCTGAATCCACAGCATATTCAGTAACAGATGAACAATCATCGCTAGCATCAGAGGGAGCTTCTGTGCTAAGATCGTTGAAGTCCACTGCATCTTGCTCAACTAACTGATCGGGAACATGATCATCGTTAACTGCCTCGGGAACTGAGACAGGAGCAACACAAAACCCATTATCAACAGCATCTTCGGCCTCTACGGGTTCAGTCAAACCTTCCACTACTTCCAAAGACTCCTCAAAAGAGTCAATATCCATAGGTTCAGGGATAACATCATCCATTTCAGCAGCTGTTGGATACAAAAATACGACGTCAACATCCATAGTCTCTGTAGCTTGAGAACAAGCTAACAAAGCAGCACGAAGACGAAGTTTGCCATAATGATGGCGTCGTGAAGGACGAGGTCTATGCACACCAAGTCGAGCACGAAGACGACGATGGCGCATGCCAGCTGTACTAGGACGACATACCGAGGTATGACGACCAGCCCTCTCGAGAGAGGTTGCACCTGCTGGATACAAGATAGAAGCCGAAGCAACACCTACATCATCGCAATATGCGTTATCCCCAATAGGGAAAGAAACCGCATAAGAAGCGTTATCCTCATAAGAGGAAGAAACCGCTTGAGCTGCGTTATTCCCATAAGGGAAAGAAACCGCAGAAGGTGTGTTATCCTCATAAGAGGAAGAAACCACACAAGAAGCGTTATCCTCAGAAGAGGAAGAAACCGCTTGAGCTGCGTTATCCCCATAAGGGAAAGAAACCGCAGAAGGTGTGTTATCCTCATAAGAGGAAGAAACCACACAAGAAGCGTTATCCTCATAAGAGGAACAAACCGCTTGAGCTGCGTTATTCCCATAAGGGAAAGAAACCGCAGAAGGTGCGTTATCCTCATAAGAGGAAGAAACCGCACAGCACACGTTATCCCTATAGAGGGAAGAAACCGCGTGGGGAGCCAAGTTGGTCTGTTTTCTTGGTCGGTTGACGACCGAAGACACTGAAGCAACGAAAACATTGTTTTCTTGCATCCAGGCACGAGTAATGGCCTCACAGGCATATGCCCAAGAAGGAACAGAACTACGTGAAACAGAACCATACTCACTGGGAGGTGAAGCACATAGTCACGGCCAGCACAAGGACCACCGACAAGGCAAGCACACCAGAGAGCAAGGCAACGGAACTCCTTTTCTACGCGTGGTGGAGAAGCGAGATAATCTCGACTTGTTCCAACCTCACGGAGAGAACCGAACATTGTTTGTGGTTGTGTGGGAGCAATAGGCTCCAAAGAAACAACAGGAAAGTTGTTAATGGTGGTGGTGGTGGAAATGAGGGGAGGCACGAAGGCATTGGGGATTTCTCCCACAATGTCATTGTCAATGGGCAAACGTTGGCCTGTACCCCTAAGCCAGAAAAACGAGAAGAAGTTATCAAGCTTTTCCAACAGTAAAACACAACCACTTTAACAATAAAGCAAAACATAGCACAAAGGAATCTATTTGTTTAATTGGTACATTAGAAATGTGCAAACATCTTTACTTGAAAATACTCTTTCGTACTTACACGTCAACGAAAAGCAGCTGAATCATTTTCCAATAATAGTTTCGCAAAGAAAAAATGAAAAAAATACGCTTTTGAAAAAATAATAAGTATTTTTTTTGCTGCGGGGGAGAGAGTGACGTAAGTCGTCTAAGCCACATTGTGACATAGCTTTAGTGTGATTCTCCTAGTTCGGTAATATTTGCCTCTGCTAAAAGAAGGAAGGTCTATATTCTTTTAATTCAAAAAGAGGGACACTAATCATATGCATTAAAGGGCGTAAAAGAAAATATTATGTGGCTTCATATATGCTATTCTTTGGAAAACGTATGATGTTCCTAAAAAGGCCACCAAAAACACGACATTTTTGATTCAAGCCATTGAAATAGAAGTAGGAAGATTCTCGAAGATACAATGGGATGCTCGATCTTTAATTGACAATACGCCTATTGCATATTTGACAGGTTTCACTTTAATGATTGATATTCAGCTAGGCCTGAATATGTATATAAAGTGTGGTGACCTAGCAAGGCTATAGCCATATTAGAGCTAACAAAGGTTTATCCATGCCGATACCATTTGTGATATAAGCTTAACAAGAAATGTCATAGTAAGAACTATAAGGATATTACATCACAAGTCTAATTTAGTACGTCTGAGAAATACTTAAAATTTAGTTTAAAGCAAAGACAGTTAAGAAGACTTAACATTTATTAGAACAAGACTAAATTAGTGACTATGTAATAATCATATACATTTTTGGTTAATCAATGATAACTTCAAGATAGCACTAGAGATATGAACACAGCAGACAGTCTTTTATATAAATACTCGTACATTTCATTTATTAATAAAGGACAATCTGATAAACAGTCTCAAACTACTTATATAGTCTTTTTATAATTTAAAACCTTACCTTAAAACACAACATTTTTTAGTTTGAATTCTACTATGTCTGCTCAACAATCTCCTATCCAATCTCCTGCTGCTCATGAACAACAAAACGATCTTCATCGTGATCAAGTTCCTTCTGTTGCTCGTGATGAAGACACTGTGATGTCCGAAAGTGATTCTGATCATTCCTCTTCTGCTCTCTCTGCTGCTGGTAGTTCTGATGGTCCCAGAATCAACATCAACACTGAGTACACTGCCGGTATGCTCCTCGAGTCTGCTCAAGAAGACTATGAAAAAAAGAAAAATAGTTATTATATCTGTCTTGGTAACTATTTGGCTCTGTCCAAGGTGGATGCTCGTTCTGATGCAAGCAAGAATGCATCAATGCTGTCAAAGGAGGCCTTAGCTCTTTACAAGGATGCGGAAGAGACCTTGAAAAACCTTCGTGAAGAAAACTCGCCTTCTGCCCCGGTACAAGATGAACGAAGCCGTTTCGTGCCCAACAACCTTCCTTTCCTGCAGCTGAAGTCAGACCTGTATTTGGAAAAGCCCTCTCGTGAACTCTTCGATTCTGTGTATGATTTTTGCCAGGAGTTCGTAACTGTTTTGGAAGCCCACGCGTTGGTTTTGGATGACTCTTGGGAACGTCTCCTTCCTTCGTGCCTTACAAAGGAAACAAGAGTATGGTTTGAAGACAATTTGAAGGGCAAGTCCATGAGTTGGAAATTGGCTGAAGGTCAACTCTTGGATTACTGCGACACTCCTTTTCGAAAGTTCGTCAACATGGGTCGTGTTTGGTCAATGAAGCAAGGACCAAAGGAGTCTGTTCGCGCGTTTGGAGCTAAATTTCAGAAATTTAGACGCCAAGCCTCTTTGGAAGATGGTATCCAATTGGTTCTCTGCTTTTGGTGGAATCTGCGCCCGGAAGTCCGACAAGCCTGTATGATCCCGCTCTCATCCAATTATGGAACCAAGATGCCATCGAAGGTCGAGGAAATCATTTCGTTGGTAAGTACCACGACTTTTGACACCTCTTCTTTGTTGAAGAACGATGCTGAGACCAGTCCTGTTTCCGAGTGGAAATCTTTCGCTGAAAGAAATGGTGCTTCTTCTTCTTCTGGTGCTGGTAAGGGTAAGAAAAGATCTTCCTCTTCTGGTGATGCTGGTAAGAGATCCAAGAAGACTTGGAATTTCAAAGCTGCATTGAAAGATAACATTTGCTTTTCGTGTAAGTCTCCTTGGGAGAAAGGACACTCCTGTCCCGAAAGGGAACGATATCTTGAGACCAGGGTATCACGAATGGCAACTCGTTCTGGTGGGTCACCAAGCTCTTCTTCTGGTTCTGTGGCTGGACCTTCTTCTTCTTCTCGCTCGTTGGAGGACAATACTAGTGCTTTGTCTATGATGGCTCTTGATTGTAAGTACAACTATAAAGACATGACTATTAAAAAAGATTTTAAGAATATGAGCACTAATATTACCTTTCCTATTCTTGTCAATAATTCTATTAGAACCATCTCGTTGTTGGACTGTGGTGCCATGTTTAGTTCTGTGGATGTGAATTTTTGTACGAAGAATAGTATAGCTATTAGTTATGTAACACAAGTTAATAAAAAATTTGTAAACAAAGATAATGTGCATAAATATTTTATACGTTTAGCTGATAGTAACACTTACGTGAAAAGAATCGGTACTTGTGTAATGAATGTTTCTTGTAATGGTAAGACCATTCGACGTGAGTTCGAAGTGATGAACTTGACTAATAGTAACGAGTATGATTTCAGTATTGGTACTGATTATATGTTTTCTCTTGGAATTGGTATTTATGGTTTACCTTTAGTCTATGATGATAAAGATTCAACCGAAGAAAGACTTGAAGCTGATAGGCGCTTTAACAATAAGAGTGATCTTCTTGAATCCATTGAAAGAGAAAATGAGTTAAAGGAAAATAATCCCGCTGTTGGTCCCAAAGAGTTTGAGGAAGCTATGGATTATATTCAAAGATATGTTAAGAACAATCAAGCTATTCCTAAAGGATCGTTTTGTACCATACCTGAAAGTGTTGTTTGCTTGGATACTCCGGAAAATGCTACTGCCTTCAGAAGTCCTTATCCTATTCCTATTTCGATGCAAGGTGTCGTTGATGAACAGGTGAAAGAATGGATTGAGAATGGTATCATTGAAAGAGCTCCTGCAAACACGGAATGGAATACACCTTTGACTGTAGTCAAGAAGACAAATGGTAAAGGTGAAGTGACTGGTTATCGTGTATGCCATGATCCCAGATTAGTGAATACTCTATTGAAGTCAATTGATCGTATGCCTCTGCCTCTTATTGGTGAACTGTTTGAAGATTTGAAAGGTGCTAATATCTATTCAACTCTTGACTTGAAGTCTGCATTCAACTCTTTGCGTTTGAACCCAAAGGATGCACATAAGCTCAGTTTCACATGGCGTGGTGTACAGTATAAGCCTATCGGAACAGTATTTGGTATCAAGCATGTTAGTTCACAGTTTCAAAGAACTATGAGTATAGCTTTGGAAGGTTTACCTTTTGTAAGATTTTTTGTGGATGACATTGTTTGTGCTAGTAAGACGTTTGAGGAACATAAAGAACACTTGAAGCAAGTTATTGAGAGATTAACAAGGGTCAATTTGAAATTAAATCCTAAGAAATGCCATTTCTTTCAAAAGGAGATTTATTTACTTGGTTTTCACATTTCTCCAAAAGGGATTACCATGGACCGTAGAAAGCTTGTTAATGTATTAGAATTTCCTCAACCTAAAACGGGTAAAGATATCCAAAGTTATTGTGGTTTGATCAACTACTTCAGAACGTTGATTCCAAATGTGTCATCCATCATGTCGCCATTGGATTCATTAAGAAATGAAAAGTCTATTACACATTTATGGACCGCTAGACAGCAAACTGCATTTGATAACTTGAAAAAAGCACTTTTGAGTGATCTGGTTTTGTCGTATCCAGATATGAATTCTCGTTTTTGTATTAGTTGTGATGCATCTCTTAGTGGTATTGGAGCTGTATTATATCAAGTCATAGCTGGTAAGACCAAATATATTTCTTTTGTAGCTAAGAGCTTATCCAAGAGTGAAAGAAAATATTCCGCTACAAAAAGAGAATTACTAGCATTAGTATTTGCACTCAAGCGTTTTCATAAGTATGTCTATGGATCCACTTTTACCTTATATACGGATCATAAAGCTTTGACGTATCTGCACACCCAACGTGTCGCAAATCTGATGATGATTGCATGGATGGACACAATTTTGCAGTATGACTTTAAGATCGTTCATTTACCTGGTGTTGCTAATGTCTTGCCCGATGCGTTGTCGCGTTTGTCTGAGGAGACTGAACCATTGTTAAATGAACTGGGTGGGGATAATGAGGTTAAATCCATAATGAGAAATAGTGCTGTCACTAAAGAACCTCTGCCAGATATCCTGAGTGGTGAATACTTTACTCCTCCTACAGAGAATGAGAGAAATAAGTTGTTAGTCGAAGAACATTTGAAAGGTCATTTTGGTATAGAAGCAATAGTACATGCCTTAAAGAGAAAAGGTATCTATTGGACCAAGTTGAAGGAACAAGCAAATGAGCTTATTCAGTCATGTATTCAATGTCAGCGCCATAACATTACAAGAAAGGGATACAACCCTTTACGACCTGTCAGTGCCACACTTCCTGGGGATAGTTGGGGTATCGACTTAGCTGGTCCATTCACAATGTCAACTAAAGGTAATGAGTACTTGTTAGTTATGATCGACATTGCAAGTAAGTTTTATGTGTTACGTGCCATACCAGATAAGAGCATGGCCACGGTTGCGTTACAAGTGTTAGACATAATTGGTACATGGGGTCCAATGCGTAAGTTGCAAAGTGATGGAGGTCGTGAGTTTGTGAACTCTCTAATGAAGTGCATAAAAGAGAACGTTGGTTTTGAACACGCGTTAATTTCTCAGTATCACCCTAGAGCTAATGGTGCAAGTGAAAGAGCTGTACAGTCTGCAGTAAACACCATTAAGAAGCAAATAGTTGGTAACGTTGCTGACTGGGATTTAAAGGTGCCTTCTGCTCAATTGTTTTTGAATAGCAAGTATAACGCTAGAACTAAGAGTACTCCATTTTCGTTAATGT